AGTTCATCGAAAATGAGGTCTGCACCAAGTTTAAACGTTCCTTTTTCTCTCTCTAAGTTTGGTGATTTAAAAAAAAAATTTGCAGTTTTTTGATAAAAATATTTTTTATTATAATTTGCATTAACTTCAATTAGAAATTGAACAAAAACTGTTGTTTTTTTCAAAAAATGTACACTGCTTTTTCTAAAGATCTATATTTAGAACAATTTTGTTTAAAGCAAAAATCTCTACCTTCAATTTTGTAGTTTTCAAATGTTAACTTTTTACAATTTTTGAAAATGCAGAGAGTTTACTTAAAATGGATCTACCTCCACTTTTTATGCTGCCCTTTGAAACACACAAAGAGAAAATTTAAAGGAAAAAATGGTACAGTTTTAGTAATTGTCTAAAAAATGCCTATTTTTAACGCAAAAATTACTAATATTATCGAAAAATTATACTTTATCTAATTTGAGGATCTGTCTTTAATACATACATTAAAAATATCTTTCTTTAATAGTGATGTTAGAAGTCTCTGCATAATCTGCATTCTAGTTTATATTGCATTTGTGAACTTCGGTTTTGAGCTTCGGTACATTTTCACATTCTGTATATTTAAACTCGCCGGGCACCTCCTAGGCCTCTCAACTCTGTCAAAACACAGCGAGCAGGCACTTGCCTGTCGGCCACGACCGGGAGGACCTCGACTCGCTCCCTTTCCATCAGCGGCGGCGTCCGCGCCGCCGGTCTTCCCGTCCACACCGAACGACACGAAAACGACGCGGTAGGTGCTAGGCTCTCTGTCGACCCCAAACACGCATTGTGCGTTTCTCTACAAAAGTCGCTACAAATCAGTTAACATGTGGCAACAGAGAATGACCTTAGTAAAAAAAAACTTACTATGGAAAACTAGTTTTATTTGAAGGAAAAATATCTATCTTCAATTTTGTAGTTGTAGGAAGACACCGAAAAAAATTATAATTTTGAAATTTTCGAAAATTCAGAGTTAACGTGAAAATAGGACCAATGCCACTTTTATAAGTGTATGTTACTCTATTCTTACAAGAAATTTAAAGAAAAATTTGTATTAGATGTAATCAAGGGAAGCTTGTGTGAAATTATTCCTACTTATCTGCATGATGTGTCGCAAATAGTGAAATAATTGACATTTATTCACGTTTGTTTATTTTGTATTAGTAAGAAAGTACTCTCGTTCCTGGCTATCGAAATAAGTGTATCCGCAGGCGCTACGTTTGGATTGGTTTGGACGTTTTCAAGTGATCGCTAAAGCAGAAATTGCAAATATCGAAGCAGCCGTTCCTAACCTAACTAAAAATCTACTAATTTGAAATCAAGGTCCATTATTGTGACAGGAACTTAACATCAACTAGCTTTCAGATTTCCCGCTGCGATTACTGCAACCAATGAATAGTCTAGTGCAACTTTCTGGGCACGCTAAGAAATAATGCAAAAGTGATAATGTATTGTAATGCGCTCTAGTTGTAACTCTGAAGAGCTTCCATTGTAGCTACTCTTCGCCGATAGATGTCTCGTCATTCGTAAGAGAATTCAAATCCCCAGAGGCTTCATTACTTATAAAAGAATTTCAGGAAGTTTCATTAAATAGCTGTCTAAAGCAATAAGTATACAACTTTTTTTGTAAGTTCTTAATACTTATGGGAATATTAATTTCAGATTTATTTATATATAATTGCATAGAAGAATAAACAAACCATCTTTCAAATACTATCCAACAAATTATGTATTTTATAATATAAAAATTTCTTTAATAACATTGACACACTGGATATTCTGTATTGCAATGTTTTACAATACTATTGAGACAAAGAGATATGTGTTTGTATATTTCTTCCTCTCAACTTCATTAAGAAGGACAAACCTCATGAAAAATATTCAATTAGTATTTTTTTGTTGTTGTTTCTTTTTTAATGTTTGTTTGTTTCTTTCTTGCTTTGTGTTTTTGAATGAGTCACAATTGTTTGAAGTTGCTATCATAATGTTACAAAACCTAAAAGAAGAATGAATATAATTTTTCTCATACATGTAAGCTATCTTACACTAACAATATCAGTATAGCTAATATTTTTTTTATAAATACATTTTCAAATGCTTCTTAGCTCATACATTACAGTTATTGTGAAATTAACAAACAAATCAACCTTACAGTTATTGTATTAAGTTTATACTTTATTAAGGTATTACACGTACTACTTGGAATTACATATTTTATATTGGTTATTGAAAGGTCAATCTTTATAAGTAACCTGGCCATAAAGTTTTAATTATTGAAATTGAAAAGAATGTTTGATATTAGCCAATAGTGTTTGAAAGTCTGTGTACAATGAATATTAAGAATAACTTATCACATCTCAGAACACATGCAGCGAATACCCTCCCCCCTAGTATGTCACACACAGTTTTAAAGTGGTTTTGACATTGAATAAAAGAAAATAAATTTAAAAAAATTAAAAACCACTCTCTAGAATGAACAGTGGAGAGAAAGTGATATTCAACAACGCTATTGAGATTGAACTAAATAATATAGTCTTACCATTATTTATAATTTTAATTTGAAAGCTCTTAGTTGTCCGTATTAAGTATTAAAACAATATTCAAAATAATATTTTAGAACAGGAGGGAATCTTTTAAAATACCAGCAATGTCTGGGAGAGATGTGTCTAGCACTTTTAATATTATAAAATAATGAAAAACTAAAGAAAAGGTGCAAAACAATCCATTTCCAATTAATTTACCTTTTTTATAGTCAAAGAAGATAATTTCCTGTCCATTTTTAATACATATTTATTATTTATTGTTCATTAAATAGATTTAATCAAATAGTGCTTCATTGTAACAGGATTTTGTAAATCAGTAAATATGTACTATTAAAAGTAGTTGATATTTGAAATTTTCTGTACAATTGTTCATGAACACCTTATTCTTATGTATCTTATAGCAACTAATCTAAGCCACATAGTCATTATCTAGCATGATCATTGTGCTTTCAATGCCTAAAAATACAAAGATCAATTTCAACTGAACTAGAACTTTTCAGAAATTTATGAAATTCATCAAAATTACACTTGTTAGATGTTGCAATAACTCTCATTACAGCAATATAATTGCTTTTCGAGATGTAATTTTTATGAGTCATCAAAGTTTTCTCTTGTAACTGATTGAAATAAAGAACTAGGAATTATTATTTGAAGAAAAGAATTCCTTAAATATTTATTTAAAGTAAATACACAATGTAATCAAAAGTATCCGGACACATCCAAAATGATGTTATGGTGTGGTTGTGTTTTTCATGGAAGGGGCTTGCACCCCTAGTTGTTTTTTGAGGCACTTTCACAGCACAGGCCAACGTTGATGTTTTAAACACCTTCTTACTTCCCACTGTTGAAGAGCAAGTCAGGGATGGTGATTGCATTTTTCAATAAGATCGAGCACCTGTTCATATTGCACAGCCTGTAACAGAGTGGTTACACGACAATAACATCCCTGTAATGGACTGGCCTGCACAGAGTCCTAACTTGAATCCTATGGGATGTTTGGAACCTTGGGGATGTTTTGGAACGCAGACTTCATGCCAAGCCTCACCAACCTACATCAATACCTCTCCTCAGTGCAGCACTCTGTGAAGAATGGGTTGCCATTTCCCAAGAAACCTTCCAGCACCTGCTTGAAAATATGCCTGCAAGTGTGGAAGCTGTCATCAAGGGTAAGGGTGTGCCAACGCCCTATTGAATTCCAGCATTACCAATGGAGGGAACCATGAACAGGCAAGTCATTTTAGATATGGCACCCTGATTTTGTTGAAAAACAATCCCTGAATGATTTACATACTACCTAATGCCTAGAAAATATAGCACATAAATCTTAGTATTTTTTCTCCTTGATAACATGTACTAATAGATTTTTGAAATTTCTAAAGAAATGTTTACTCACACATTATGTAACAGGAAAAGTATTGCACGAATTGGAAAAAAATATCACCTCCACTTTGAATATCTATGACAGGTAACTTAAAAGAAAATGTGACAAATTTCTCTTTATTCGTTCATTAAGAACATTTTGCTCTGGGTTGATGCCTCTCACTTAGGATTTTACAATTGTAAGTAGCTCATACTAACACAAATGATAATTAATTACAAAATAATTATACATATTTCATACCTTCTAAACAACATTCATTGCAGACTATCTTATGTGAAAGTCTGCAGCTTTCACAAGCCCTCAATCTGTCCTTGGGCTATGAGAGGGCAATGGAGTGTAAAATCACTAACCATCACCTGCCAGTTAAGTAGTTGATAAAAGGCATTTGCTCATAATGCGTACTTCAGTATTATAACACATATAACTGTTGACACTTAAACATAACACGAAGACTTCCACAAGCAAGACATAAGTAACAAGAAAAAGAAAAAAGACGAGATTAAATTGTCATTAATGAACAAATAATAGAACAAGTAACCAAATTCAACTATATGGGCATATCATTGGACAGAGATCAGAGGATATCAAAAGAGAAAACAAAATCCAGAAATGAAGCAGAACCAAAGGGTTAATAAAACATGTCAGAAGAAATATGACTCAAAAGACCAAAATAAGAATACATAATGTGATTTCCAAACCAAAGCCAAAGGTCTACTGGGAAACAGGCACCAAGATTTACACATCTAGGCGCAGTAAATAGCTTTAGTATTCTTATGTGCTGTTTCAGAATAGCCCATTTTTTCTGCTCCAAAATCTCTTTATCCACACATTCAACAGTGGCACTTTTGTTGCTGCAGGCCCCACTATTACCTAATTCTGCAAATAAAAATGGTAGCCCAAAAAACTTCATCATCTCTGAATCATATAAATATTGCCTAATTCCGTAACATAAGGGTTGATTCATTATGCCTTCACTGAACTTCACCTTTGAGACACTGTGCCTTGGACCATAATTGTGTGTCCTGTCATGGTGTGGGTTGATACGATGAATGCCCTCTTATAAAGTTTCTCAGATATTTATTGTCACATAAGTTATAAATAATCAATCTTATAAGCATTGATGATTCATTGAATTAATTAATTTATTACATCAATTAATTACAATCTCCTGCTGGCAAAGTATTATTTTTCTCTGCCAGGAAATAATTATCTAGGAGTCACACTTTATTTTAAACAAGGAAATTGATAAAAGAAATCTTTCCCCATATCATTAATAGGATTTATTCAGTCTGTGCAGCTTACACTAATATATTCTTTGCTTTACTCACTGATTTATCCCCCTCTCCTCCTCGACTTCTGGACATCCCCTGTGGAAAACATTGCCAAATTGCACCCTGACAGCCACACCACCTGAAGTGTCATCTCAATTCCCAATCCAAAATATGATGAATGAACATCTAAGTGTTCACAGCAGAACCTGTGAGCAGAGGTATGAATCTATTAGCATTAGCCATGTAAGTCAGTCTAATTGAAACTATTTAAAAACAGTTCCACTCCTTCTAAAACCTTATAATTTTAGAGAATTCTACTTATGAGTTATACAATTTAATTAAGGATAGGTTTGGTGCAAATTTTTAGGGGAAATTCTACTAATAAATATCAATTACATACTTTTGTCAACTGGTAACACAACTGAAACTTGCTTTAATAACACAATTTATAAATACATTTGGTTCCAAGCTCAACATATCACAGCTCATTCGTCCAAACGAGAGCTGACCTTTTAGGCAAAGAAGGTTCATAATGCCCTCTCCATTGGTCAGATTCAGACCTTTAGTTCATTGAAAACTGTAACATACTCCACCTTACAGGCTAGTTGGTGAGCAAATTACCCACACAACAGAGCACCAGAAGCAAAATTGAAAATCTTACTAGATGAAAACCATCACAATTTAGTTGAATTTTCATTTCACATAAAAGTATTTGCTTAGATGTCAGAATTTAACACATATATCAATAATAAGAACAAAGGAAGTCAACAACAGAAAAATATTATCTAACTTAGATGAAAATATTTAAAATTACTTTTAGACACTATTATTTTCATTTAATTTTTGAAGGGAAGATACAACACTCTAATGTAAAGAGGAAGTAGAAAGAATTTTCTATGAATACTTCTTAAGAGCACCTACCAATGACTAACTACAAAAGGGAAAGAAATTAGGTTCAGAAATAAAACAAAAGAGCACAGGAGATTTCATCTAATATTTGTATATATTATAGTCTATTTCACAAGCCACAAAATTCATTTGCTTTCTAACCTCCTAGAGCACCTTAGTTAGGCATCTCCTGACAGTTCACAAGAAGCAAAAATTGATTTCTAAAGTAAAGACCTATTATTTCTACTGCTCCCAGTGCCCTTCCACAGCAATAGGCACATATTGCCAACATCTTGAACATATCGCAAATAGTGATTCATAACAGGTAGCATCAACAAGACTGAGGAAGAAGCAGAGAAGTCAATCAGCAGAAATAATTGATCTTTATAACAGCAACATCAACATGAATTGAAGTCCTTGAAAAAATTTTGTTTACATTTTATTCAATACCCAGCAAGTAATTGCTACAAAATAATCATTAAAATATGTAAGTATTGCTGTTCGCAAAATGCAGAATGTACCCATAACTGTAGTCTCAACTTCAATAAAACTTTCAGAAGACACATCTTTATGTAGTGTTTGTCATATTTGTTAGTTTCTTGGTTTTTTCAGGCTTAAGATTTTGGTTAAGATGAACATACATACATTCAATACAATGTAATTATAAAATGACTAAAAAGGAAAACTGAATTAAATCTCATAGTTCTCTATTATTAATTACTGAATGTGTTGAATTCTCATAACATATATTTGCAATGTTCAAAATTCAAACTATGACATAAAATTAATAGTTCTGAGACCACTGCTTTGAGACATCTGAAATAATATAAATGCTTGGAAGGCTACAATTCAATATTTGATCCATTTGTATGCCTAGCATCAATCTTTCACCGTAAACATTGTTAGGTGAATAATTTAATAAAATGCATAATCCTTGTTCGCATCTTATCATATAGCTACTGCAACTGTCAGAAGTGTCTTTGTGGTGAGAAAATGCAAACAGTCAAGCACAACCCCATCCTTCCTTGTGCTTCTGTTGCATGGTGTTACCATTTAACACTTGTAATAAACGCAAACACACATATTTTGATTTGTCCTTCCAAACGCTGATTCTTGAAACAATGTTTCTGCTAGATCTCTCATAGGTTGAGGCCTTTGTAACAATGAAGCGTTCATTTTAAAGCTACCCGTGATTGAATAGCTTTAGGAATTAGATGTGAGCCCAAATACTTAAGTCATTTTGTTTTGTTCTGTTAATACAGGAAAATTACTTCAATTAGGCAATTAAGATAATAAGGCAACTAAGGTTTGAAGAATGGCAAGCTGTATGCCAGATGACAAACGTCAACATGAAGTTAAAGTTATGCGACAAATGACAGCAGAACACATTGTAGGTGTATGGACTCAATCATCTGGACATTAACATTCAGTCATCATATTCAGTTCTGTCGGTACTTTTGGTATCACTTATCGTTTTGTAAAGCAAGCATTCATAATTGAATATTCATTGTGCGATAGAGACAAAAACTCTTTAACAGAAATTAACATTCATCCGCTCTCAATTAAACTATACATACACTGACTTTAACAACCCCCAGATGGCAGATTGCAATGTTACCATTATACAAGAGCATATGTGTTCAAAAATCTTGAAACAGTATGTCATATAACTCTATTACCTATTTAAAAATAGTCACATTTATAAAATATATCATTGAATTCATTGCAATTGTGAGTTGATTAGCATTTGCCTCTTTTTGTACTGTTCTACATACCATGAAGCACTTACTGTGGATTATATATTCCAATAACAGAATAATGAAACTATTTTCAAACAGTAAGGGAGAAAAAGATCTACTGACATGGCATGCACACACACTTACAAGAATGCAAAAACGCAAGTTGAGGGAAAATGACAGGAACAGGACCTCCCGCACATTTAATAGAATAAATTAAAGTGCACTACTGTTATACTTATGAATATATTGTGATAGAACACACATGGAAGAAAAAACAGTTTTCTGCTGGCAATGCATACATGCACCTTGCTGCAACCAGTTGCCACAGCCAAACTAGATGAGCAAGTCAACTGGTTTGGATACAAAACACAAGGCAGGAGTTGCTCAAATCTGCTTTAGCCACATTATCATCACATAACTGTTCATTAACACATAAACCTTTGACATCACACGCCTTGCACTTTGCAGAGACACTATTGACAGTCTGTGACCTCTGCAATGCACTGTCATGTCTTCCGCGGAGGTGGGGGAGGTGGTGGAGCAAAGTTCGGAGGAAGGGCAGTACTGCAGCTGTTGGTGGAGAGTTTGCGCTCCTTCAGAGGAATGTTCTCATAGATCTGCTTTGGAATATCATCTGGTGGCCTGCAGGAAGAAAAAAAAGTACATTTAATTTTATTGTATTATTTTTTTAAGTTTAATTTAACAATTTAACACAATTTAATTTTACAGTAAAAAAATTCATATCAACAATTAATAAAATATTTCTACACACAGTGCGAAGTATAAAAATCAAGACAGATGCAGATGAAATATATTAATGCATTTAAATAATCAGGAAATGTTGATCTTAGAAGGATAAGGAAAAAACTTTATATTCATAACAACTAAAATTCATGAAGCATGATGTATTTTCCTATGAAATTGTATCTTTATCTCCATAAAACTCCACACCAGTCATGCCAAAATGCGCTGACACTTAAACCATAGTGGAGAAGTATACATGGAGGTGGTTGTTTACAGAGTGATTTACACATCTTTTTTTAGGAAAAAAATTGATTTATTATAATACATAAAACAAATTTTAATTACATGTACAAAAACATACAAGTCGTTCTTACAGATATTTCCTGATACTTCCATCTTGTATAACATATTAAAATGTTTCTACCTTTCATGAAAATAACTCATAGTAAATTTACACACAATGAACCTACTGAATTACATTCATTCATATAAAATCAATATTTTAAGTTTTCACTGAAAATAAACTTTTCATTTTCAACAGAAAATGCAATACAATGGCATTATGACTGTACGTCATGACATAACATTTTAAGACTAGTACATTCCACCTAAGAATAATAAAAAGTTTGGCATTTGTAGCAACAACATGTGTCACAGATGGCAAAAAATAACGTGCTGGTGTCTCAGAGGATCACACCCACCTGGGCAGGTGAGCATCAGAGGCTGCACGTGATGGGCGTTTGTTGTCACGGCAAACAGCCGTGTTGGGTGTGGTGGGAAGTGAAGTGGTGGAGCGTGACAGGGACAATGTCATGCCTCGCCCAGGATCTGGAACTGAACCAGCTCCTCCTACTTCACTAGAATAGCGAATGTTTGTATACTCCCGACCGATTTGAAGACTTTTCTGAAAAGAGAAAAAGGGGAAAAAATTAATATTTGTTGCAAATTCAAGAAGTTTTACAATAGTTTTGAATTATCTCCTGTTTCTTCAAAACTGAATCAGTAAAGGGTATTCATTAACAATTCTGAGAATTGTTCAATATTTATTACTTGTTTTTTCACTTTTTTATGAAACTCTGTTTAATTAAAACTGAAATTTTTTCAATTACAATTTTACTGTGAAAAGTAATACATTTGAATGATACCATATGTCACAGAAACATCTTGTCCAAATTCTTTTCTGATGATTGCCACAGATTACAATTTAAAACAAACAGTTTTAGTGAAGTCAAATACATGAGAAAATACTTAATACTTCACAAGCACTGACCACATTAACAATGACTGTTAAATTTGGATGTCTATGACTTAAAAATACTTTACCTAAATAATATATGAAAACCATTCATGCAAGATCATGAAACTGAATAATTTAAGGTAAAGAAAAAAATATCATATTTATTTCTAACACTAGCAAGTTGGAAATTACTATGGGAATTATAACAAAGGACTATTACATTGCCAATTATCTGCACAAACGTCTTTGACTAAGAGGCTATTCTGCATTTTCAAAAACAAAGCATAAGTTGCTCTGAGGATATTTTTATTTACCTGCTCAGCCTGCATACGCTGTGACACAGTCTCAATGTAATGCTGCACGGCCAAGTACACAAACTTGTACTGAGCCTCTGTCTGCACCATTCCTGAACGCTGAGACCTCACCATCTGAATAGTGCGCTGAATATCTATTTCACAGTCCAATCCTGAAACCCACAAATATATACTTATTAGGGACTCAAAGAGAGAGAGAAAATGACATTTGAGAACAATACGGAAAATTACATGGTTAGAAGAAGATATAATAACCAAGGTGCTAGACAGACTTAATGTTTCAGAAGAAAATTGGTGATAAAGTACTTTGTATACCATCCAATATAATAAAACTGAATGATCAAGTTCATGTGATAGATTTCAAACTTGATTTAAAAGATTGAAATACTCACCTTGTCTCTTTATTTGGTCCAAGATCATATCAATGACAATGAATGTACCAGTTCGACCAATCCCTGCACTGCAATGCACAAGGATGGGCCCTGCATGAGGAATCGAATCTTGACGCACGTTCACATCATGAAGGAAGTTAAGGACACATCCAGGATCAGATGGGACCCCATGGTCTGGCCATGCCTGCAAAAATATGACTTCATTAAAAAAATCATTTAAATTAAGAACAATCATATATGTAATACTGATACATATTACATGAGAATGACGTGTAAATCAATTTTTAACATGGGAACTACAAATTATGAACGTACAATAATCGGTGTACGAGCAATACTAATTCTTTAATTGTACAGTCGCATCCTATCTGCTTGTTTCCTAATCCTTTGTCTTATATAAAATTTCAATTAACTATAAGTTTAACTTTAGTGTTTAATCAAGTATCCATTCTTTAGTGATGGGAACATTTAACACAATTGAGATTTAAACTTTAATATTTGTCAAAAATAATAGCAGGAGAGTGGTAATAAAAATTCAGATTAATAAAACATAGGGTAGCAATGGTAATGACATATACCATATGTGAGCACCTTGCACTTTATTAGTAAAGTAATTAATTCTTGATCTTCACTTTCACTTCTTCTTCACATTTATGAGATATAAGGTAACGAGATATAATAAAATACTTTGATATTCGGGTAATTATTGTAAATAAATTAAAGTGTTATGTCTTCAAAGCCCTGAAGAGGAGAAAATGTATTCCTGCAGGTACGTGAACAAGTAGTTTTCATTGTACCTGATCAAACGTCTTATAATCGCAACTATTATTGAATTTTTTGGTAGTGAAATGCAGAGTATCATACTTTAACATAATTTCTAACAAACCAAAGAAGGCAGCAATATCAATATTTTATGTTGTAGTGTTGCTCACCTGGAAATGATAGTGGAAGACTTTCCTCTCTTCGTCCTCCCCCTCCTTTACCACAAGGAACTCTCGTAGTGTGTAGTCGGCATTGGATGACTCAGCCAAACTATGCACTTTCACAGCCCCATACTCCTTGCTCTGCCCTTCTTCAGGCCAGTAACGAACACATTTATTCTGGTTTAAAAAACAAAAAAAATTAGAACAAACTCAATAAATATCATTTTAATTTTCCTTTAAATGTTCTTCCCCTAAATGCAGGAGGAAATTAAAAGGAAAAAAATTCCTTCTGAACAATTAACAGGATTAGCAAAGTATTTTCCAAGACATTTACCTTTCCCCGCTCAATTTCCTTTGTAGTCATGACAATGACTCGAGTATTTTCTTGCCACACCATACTCCAGAAATCAGCAGTTGTGCTGGGAAGGCATCCTTGGGTGGCAATATAATACTTTGAAGGTCCATCTCCCATTAACTCTTCTTCAGGCTGCAAAGACACCAAGATTCAAATTTTACAATAAGTATTTTTATTAATATTACAAAGATTATCTATAAAAAATTTTAGTGTCTATCTTACCTTAATGTAATTGGCGTTGATGTATTCAGAACCAGCAACATTCTTATCTATATCTTTTAATTTTACTCGAGTGTGATCAACTGTAAACAGAAAAAATAAACGTAAAATTAATTAAACATCACAGTAATATCTGATATTATCACAACATCTCAACAGACATTTTCAAAGCATAAACTGCAACTTTCTCTTTACATTTAATGTCAATAACATTATTAATTTTTTTGTTCTTCAAAGGAAGTTATGAGGAAAAAAATGTATTTTTCATTGCAAAAATTAAATGCATGAATGCATTTAAAAAAGTAACTATCAATGTTCCTTCTTAATCTTGTCAGTATTTAATTCTCCATTAATATTTAATATGTTTAAAGGCTTTTTTTTTTCTTTTTAAATATAAAAGATATATGCACATACATGGTAGGATATTTTTGTAGCGATTCTTGTTCCGATTTTCTGTCTTCTGTCCCTCTTTCCTAGAAAAGAGATGCTTGCATTCCTGTTGCTGCAGAGATTCAAACTCCTCCCAGAAACCAGCCTTGCCAGTTGATTGTCCATTTTCCTTCTGGAACAATTTATTAGCATTAATATCCACACAC